CTAAACATCAACCTCCCATATGACCCTGCAATCCCCCTCCTGGGAATATACCCTGAAGAACTCAAATCACTCTATAAAAAAGATACCTGCACACGAATGTTTATTGCAGCATTGTTCACAATAGCAAGAACCTGAAACCAACCACACTGTCCATCAAAAGAGGACTGGATTAAAAAAATGTGGTACATATACACGATGGAATACTATGCAGCCATAAAAAAGAACAAAATCATGAATTTTGCAGCAACCTGGATGGAGCTAGAGTCTATAATACTGAGTGACCTCTCACAGAAACAAAGATCTGAGTATCACATATTCTCACTCATATAGTGGACCTTGATCATCCAATGCACTACTATAAGAAAACGACTGACAGTGTTGGGAAACTATGGGGGGGGGATGGGACTAATGGTAGTAAACATCTGTCTGGAGACGGGGAGACACCTGTTATCAACAACGGGGCCTGAATGAAGCATATTTGTATACCTAACCCTTAACTGTACCCCACAATATCAAAATAAAAAAATATTGATAAAGAAAAAAAAAAGAAAAAAAAAGAAAACAAAAAGAAAACTAGAAGTTCTTTTTTAAAATGTAGCTATATGAAATGACAAATAGGTTAATCTGCTTCACTGTAGCAACCATTTTACTATCATATGTAGCTTATGCTGTAAACCTCAAATAGACACAATAAAATTTATTTTTAAAAAAAAATGTGCTCCACAAGTAAATTGTCTGCATTTTGATCCTGGCTCCACCACACACAAGGTGTGTGATAAATGGCAAGTGACTTAACTTGTCTGTATCTCAGTCTCCTCATCTGTAAAATAGGTAAGATTATAATAGTACTTACTTCCTGAGTTGTTATAAACTTACATGAATTACAAATACCGGGGTGCCAAAAATGTACACACATTTCAAGAGATGTTATCTATTTATTACTTTTATTTCACCATAATCAGAAGTATCTAGATGATTATGGTAAATTTTTTGTTGTTGATTTGTGCCTAATTCCTGTCTACACACAAGACATTGGCAGCCACAAAACCACTTCCTATTGTGGGGTGGGGGCGGGTCATAGAAAGCACTTGGATCTGGGAATCAAAGAGGTTTATGAACAGAGAGGCGGCAACCCTGCAGCTCTGTGTCCCTGCTACTGGCACACAGGTACATGGCAGACTCCTCAATGCCTGGTGAGTGAATGTGAAGAGAGCAGAAAGAAGTATTAGGCCGGCTGGACTGGAAGTTGTCAGAGGTGTCCGCTTCCTTGTTAAGTTCTTGATCATAATAATAGAATAACAACTTTGGAGCTTGATTCCGCTTTTGTTGGTACCAATACATGGCATCATGGTTCAGATTCTGAGAACAACTCAGATTCACTGGTTTTCCCACCCTGGTAACCCGGTATCGTGGGTTCTGAATGACCATAGCACCCACAAGACCTGTAGAAAAAGAAGAAAAATTTACAGTCAGATTTAAGAAGGAGGCCAATGTTAATTGCCATGAATGGAAGACATAGAACTGAGGGCAAGATAGCCAAACATTTCCTTTCTGCCAAGGACTCACCTGCTCCAAAGAGAAAAAGGGACACAAAGTGAGGAGGCCCAGGACCCATGGCAGGGCCAGAACAGGAATGGGTCATCTGTCTGTTCCAGGCTCTGATCCCTGGGTTGAGATGTGGGAGTTCAGAGAGTCCCTGATCTCTGATAGGCAGATATGCCTGTGATGACTGCTGCTGTTGACTTTACCAGGGGCAGGGTCCTCCTTGTTGCAGTTATGCACAGCTTCCTACTTGGTAGGGGAGTGGGCATGGCTGGATGAGGTATCGAGCAGATAACTATTGCCTGTAACACTCGCTGCTTCCTTGAGACAGGTGTTCCTTTGTGTTCCCCTGTTCCTAGCTCTGCCGTATGTTCCTCAAGGCTGATTCACTTTATTCCCCTTTTCTCACATCCTAAAAAGCCACCTAGTGGTTCCTCCACACATGAACAGTTTTTGCTAAAGTCTTATTTGTAACCTGTTGAGATAGTCTTTGTGTTTTGCTACTCACATTACAGATGGAGGACTGATGTCTGTAAACTATTCCCACATTGATACAGAAATCAAGCCCAGGAACTCCACTTTTAAGAGAGCATAAAGAAAATGATCTCCATTTTTTGGCTTCCTGTGGTCAACAGAAAATTATCTAGAAACAGTCTTCCTATACTGAGTCATAGAAATTGTGCAGAAGGTTATGGTACAACACTACTTAGAAATGTATCCAGTTCCTCAACTGGTGTCTATGAGATCTTTATTCTTTCCAGGGTTCCTCAATCCCTGAACCATGGACTAGTAGCAGTTTGTGGCCTGTTAGGAACTGGATTGGACAGCAGGAGGTGAGCGGCAAGTGAGCAGAGCTCCATCTGCTATCAGATAAGCGGCAGGATTAGATTCTCATAGAAGAACGGACCCTACTGTGCATAATAGAAATCTAGATTGCATGCGCCTTATGAGAATCTAATGTCTGAGGATTTCCCACACCACCCCACCGTCTGTGGAAAAATGATCTTCCATGAAACTTTGTCGCTGATGCCCAAAAGATTGAGGACCATTGCTTTATTATTTTTTTTTTGAGTTGGAGTCTCACTCTGTCGCCCAGACTGGAGTGCAGTGGCTGCTCCCGGCCACCACACCCTCGACCTGCTGGGCTCCAACGATCCTTCCACCTCAGCCTTCCAAGTAGCTGGAACTACAGGCGCCCGCTACCACACCCGGCTGATATTTTGATTTATTGTAGAGATGAGGTCTCGCCTACCCAGGCGGGTCTCGAACCCACGGGCTCAGGCAATCCACTCACCTCAGCCTCCCAAAGGCGTGGGATTACAGGCTGAGCCACCGAGCCCGGCTAGAAGACCACTGCTTTAGACCATCATACACTAGTGGGCTAAACTCATTAAGTCTTCTTGTTACTTTCTTGTTTCTTTAGACCTGAATTAACACATACTCATTGTAGGTGTACCTGTCTTTTCTGTTACAATGTTTTTTTCTTCTTCTATTTTTTTTTCTGGATTTTTTATTAAAATACCTTCTTCTTAGGGGTTGTGGTACATTCAAAAACTGGAAATTTAGCAGTCTTATGTGGATACACTTTTATATTTGTGCACTGATGAAGAATAAACACTATTTTTCTAGAGTATGAGAAAATCTTGAAGATCTTAATGTAGCTGATAAAGACATATTTCTATATAACCTGCAATAATCTTCTAGCATCCAAAGTCTTAGTATAAATGTATTCTTTTAATTCCAATCCTTTTTGTTGTTGTTTGAGAATTGATGGGTTGAAAAATTGATATTAAAAGTGAGATTGAGGCAAGGAAAACAATTAGAAAATTTGTGGAACTGAATGTGGATCAGGAGATAAACTATAAATAAATAAATGTGAGTAAAGATAACTTCATTCGTGTGAAAATTTGTGAGTCCATATGTTGAGGTGTTAAGTGATTTTGTTGATATTCTAGCCAAATGTTGTTAGATCTAGATATTTTGCCAAATTAAGATGATATGTTTTATGTCCTTGGTAGCTGGTATTTTAGAGTTGTATAAAGGGGGGGATAAGAAATAGAAGTTTAATTAAATAGTTGTATTTTTTAAGCCACTTGGTGTCTGTCGTCTTAAATAAAAGGTATCAATCAGAGATGGCTTTCCTAGACACAAAGAAACACATGGCTACTCTGTGACTGTATTGTACAAACTTTTATTCTTTTTTTTTTTTTGAGTTGGAGTTTCACTCCGTCGCCCAGACTGGAGTGCAGTGGCCGCTCCCGGTCACTGCAGCCTCAACCCGCTGGACTCCGGCGATCCTTCCGCCTCAGCCTTCTGAGTATTCTTATAGTCATTCCTTTCTCAGACAACTAGAAGTGAGGTTCAGAAAGTGATTAGGTACTTAGTGTATTTACTATAGACAATGCATTTCTATTTGTACCATGCTAACATATTTTTTTAATACTTATTCCTAGATTCAGGAAAACTGGTTGCATAAAATTTGGAGTATGGAGATATATATGTGTTAAATAGGGTCTGTATCCACTCTTTTCGGCGCTGATACTTGAGTTGAGGTGCCTTATATCCACAATTATTACAGATGTTTTCCAGAACTTGGCTCCTCAGAGTGGTTCAAAGACCAGCATACCTGGCATCCCTTGGATTCTTGTTCGAAATGTGGAGAATCCCATGTTCTACTACAGATTGATTGGATTAGAATCTGCATTTTAATAAGATCACAATTTATATGCACATTAAAGTTTAAGAAGCACTGAGCTAGGAGGATTCCTGCAGAAGTTGGAGAAATATATGCAGGGCAGGATGCCAAGGACATATTATGAAAAATGATACAATGTACAGTTGGTTCAGATGAAATCAGTTGCATGGTGGCCTTCTTAAGGGTACCATTTTTTTATGTCCTAAAGGATACCAATAGAATTTCACTATTAGAAGCTCTCTGGACTATTCTCTGCCATGAATGTGCACTGGCCTAACTGACAGAAGAATAAGCATCATCAATTTCAAATATATGAAAGCAACCCATAAATTTTTAGTGACCTGGGAATTTATAGAAAACTTACTATTATAAAGATATCAGTTCTCAAATTGATACATAGTTTTAATGTAATTTCATTCAAAATATCAGATTAGATAAAGATAGGTTGGTATTATGACATGGTGGGCAGAAAAATCATATCTGTAGGAACAGTATGGCAAACAGTGCGGGCTCTCTGAGGCTGGAGATAGCTGTTTCCAAGATTCCCATGGCCTGGGTCTTGCCTGACTTACCTCATGGTTGAGGGAATCACCATCCATTGATGGCACCCATTGGTAAAATTTATCTGCCATTACAGGGCAAATCTAGCTTTTCTGTGTAGCCAACTTGGCCAGCAGCACATGCACCTTGTCTTACCATTCCCACAGTATCCTGCTGAGTCCACTGCCATCACCAATTCAGAACAATGACAGTGATGGACACGGTGAAGCTTTCTATTCTGTCTGGTCTAATCATATATTCTGTATTCCTGATTGTAGGCACTTAAATGCAGACATACATATTCTCTTAGGGATTCTGTAAGAAATATTTAGCTAGTTCTTGCAAATTATTCTAGGTGTGATGTCATGTGATGTCATACCAAGGTGACTGCTTCACAGTTGCCATCTGTCATGTGTCCAGGTTTGGCAAGCATTTCTTATCACAGGGTGATGATTAAGGGAGATAATTTATTGATGAAATGGAAAACATAAACGCCAAGGGCAGCATGGGAAGAGAAGACATAGATCCGCATCCTGCTATCATCCCACAGAGAAGTGTGCTGCATGCAGGGATCCAGGCTGCTTGGATACAAGAGTGGCTATCCTTGCTTACTGATATATAATTTAAATTGCAACTTTTTATCACTTTCTGAAAAATGCAAGGATCGTAGAGCCAGTATCTCCATTAATTCCTCCTATATTTTACGCCAGCGTTGTCTGTTATTTATAACTACTTTAAGAATACCTATTACTTGAAGCACCAAGACATATTTGAGGTTTAATGAGAATATGAGAATAGGCTGGGCTTGGTGGCTCAGCCTGTAATTCCAGCACTTTGGGAGGTGAGCGGATTGCCTGAGCCCACGGGTTTGAGAACATCCGGGGTAACTTGGTGAGACTTCGTCTCTACAATAAAATAAAAATTAGCGCGCGTCTATAATTCCAGCTACTTGGAAGGCTGGCTAGAGCCCAGAAGGTCATCACTGGGGTGGCTGTGAGCATGCATGCCACTGCAGTCTTGCCTGGGCGATGGAATGAGTCTCTAACTCAAAAAAAAAAAAAGTTCGAGAGAATATGGGAATAAAAACTGACCTTATGGCATGGGCCTGAAAGTTCTGGCAATTGAATGTACAACATGGTGACTATAGTTAATAATAATGTTTGGTATACTTAAAATTTACTGATAGAATAGATTCCAAGTGTTCTCAACACACACACACGTAACTATATGAAGTGATGAATATGTTATTTAGCCCGAGTGTGGTAATTATTTCCTAGTTTGTGTGCGCGTATATGTATCAAAACATTACCTTGTCCGCCCTAAATAGATACAATTTTTATCTGTCAATCATACCTTAAGGAACCTGGAAAAAAATAAAAATACGTATTTAAAGATGCCACTTGAGCTAACAGAACTATAAAGAGAGCAACTGTGTGATCATTACAGGATAGAACATTAGGTGTCCAGAGTATGAAATGTCAAAGCACTAGGTTAAACTTTTCCTTGTTACCTTTGGTGTCCAGGTAATGCACCCACTGATAGCCTGGTTGGCTTAGTAGCTGCTGTTTTAACATATAATGGAGAGATTAAGAATTGGAAAAATAAGTCAACAATTTGGTTACTTATTATGATTTTGGATTAAATAACACAATGAAAGGAAAGGCACCAGTTATAAGTACCCTAGTTGGGAATTTGAACCAAAACTCATGTGTAATATGTGACTGTGCTTTAAAAATCAATTGATGAACAAGTTACTGGCAAGATATGTGTTCATAGTGTCTATGACATAAACTGAATATAGCCTTCATATTATATCTCCAAATAAAGTAATGATTGCC